GAGATATTTAATTTTTTAATTTTAATTTTTTTTATATTTAGTACTCACTGAAAAATAGTTGCAAGCATAAAGTCACACATATTTTCAATTTAAATAATACTAAAAAATACAATTAAATTAAATTAACTAAAATTAATTTAAATTAAATTACATTAAATAAAAAAATTACAGTAATGAGAATTTGGAGTAAAATGTACATTTTTAAATAAAAATAATGTATAAGTAAACATACAAATTAGTTAAATTTAATAAAAATAAAAGTAATAAAATAGTAATAATAATTTAGAAAATAATACTAATAAATTTTGCAGCAATTACAGTAATTGGGATTCTAGCAAAAATAACCATATTGGCATAATAATTTTGGTTTAGTGTTATTTTATTATTTTGAATGAATGTTTATATTTGTATATCCCTCTTTAATTTTAGTTACATTTTATTAATTTTTTTTTTTAATGTTTCTATATCGTTTTTATTCATTTTTACCTCATTTTAAATTTTACTTACTTTAGTATATCAAGTGAAACTAAATGAAAATAAGCTGAAATCAGTGTAGGTTTTTGGATATTTGTTTATTTCGAGATGAGTGTTTGAATCCATCGCTGACGGTACGAGTGTGTAAATGAGCGTCTGACAGCGTTTGTGAATCATGCATGAAGACGCTCTGAAAGTAAAAGCGTTTCGTGAGACGGATCGAACAGCATCTTTTGTCACCCGACTGTCCACCTCCATTAAAACGGCCTCAGACAAGAATGCCGTCTGAATATTTCACCGCAAAGCCAAAAGTGCAAAAACGGCCGTGTGCTTTATTCATGCTTCCATCATCCCATCATTCATTCAGCAGCTTTTCTGCAGAAAATAACGCTCTGCTCCTCAGAAGTCCAACGACAGAAAAACTGAACAGCTGACCCAGTGCTATTTTACTATCATTGATTGTTTTTATTGATATTTTGATTTGAATGAGTTTTTATTTGTATATTTTACATGTTAATTTTTTGTAATTTTGTTGTTTTTTATTTAATATTTATTTATGTATTTATTTATTTTTATTTAAGTTTTAGCTTTAGTTTAGTACATACAAGTGACACCAAATGAAAATGATAAATGTTGCTTTGGCAACTAGCTGAAATAAAATAGAGCGTCGCGCCGGAGCAAACACAAAAGCACAAAACACTGACACGGCATTAACAGAGTCCAATCTGAACAGCGTCTCAGTTCAGTTACTTTTGACATCAGTCAAAGGACTTTTTTTAGCTTTGAGAGGGATTACATGATAATAATAATTACAGATGCACCGATGTATCGGCCGATAATCGGTATCGACCGATAAAAGTTATTTTTTTCACTATCGATTATATCAGGGCCGATTATATCCTGTCAATCAAAAGGAGGAGGCCAAAACATGTTAGACTGCAACTCATACAGTGTGTGAAGAAAATATCTTGTGGGCTGTCGAAATTAACGCGATAAAAACGCATTAACAGATTAAAAAAATTAGCAACACTGAATATTATGTTGAATATAATAGCTCTGTTATTAATTTTAACCTTTAATATAACAGTAATGTAACAAATGAGAGGGTTCCCAGTATAGTTTACATCATAAGTTATAGGAGAGATTTTTTTTCTTAAGAAAATCAGACTATCGGTATCGGTATCGGCAGATATTCTGAATAATCGGTTATCGGTATCGGTGGAGAAATTCAGTATTGTGCATCTCTAATAATAATATTTATACTTGATATTGTTATTATTATACATTGTGATGATAATAATGTATATTTAATATTATTATTAATAATATTAATTATACTTTTATTTTTATTATTATTAAGACAAAAATTAAGTTAATTTACAAAAGAAAAAAAAACGAAGAAAAAAATGCATTACTTGAAATAAAATACACATTAACTGAAATAAAATATAAAAAACTTAAACATTTCAGTTGAAGTGCAAAAATAACAAACTAAATAAATTACAACTAAAAACTAAAACTTATAAAAATGACAAAAACACAACAAAATTAAAACTTTAACTTGAATTAAAGTGAAAATATAAAAATTGATCAAATCTAATTCAAAATAAACAAAAACTATAATAGTACATGAATGATGACTAAAAATAATTAAAATAACACTGAATACAACTGCACTGTAAAATAAAAAATAAATATTTCACAATACCTATATTAATAATGTAATAATAATAATAGGCATTAGCATTAATATTAAATTTGTTGTTGTTATTGTTATTATTATTAAGACAGACATTTTGCAATACGGCATTGTAAAAAAAAATATATAATATTTTATTACATACACTTAATATATTACTATATTTACAAACACTTCTCAGTACGATAAGAGTTGATGATAGATAGATAGATAGATAGATAGATAGATAGATAGATAGCACTGCCTGTTTGGATTATGATTATGATTGTTTTTATTGATATTTTGATTTGAATGAGTTTTTATTTGTATATTTTACATGTTAATTTTTTGTAATTTTGTTGTTTTTTATTTAATATTTATTTATGTATTTATTTATTTTTATTTAAGTTTTAGCTTTAGTTTAGTACATACAAGTGACACCAAATGAAAATGATAAATGTTGCTTTGGCAACTAGCTGAAATAAAATAAACATAACATTATTTCAATCTTTATGAATCTTTATTTTTATATATATTTTTTTAAATAACTTAATTTTCCATCAAAACATACAATTTTTGTAATCTTTAT